TGGTAACAACCATTTTACATAAAAATCAAAGATTTTTATTGAATACTGTGTTGGACATGTTTTTAGCATAAAATTTGATGGTGAAGTCCAATTTTCATAAAACTCAAAGCTTCAATCTTAATATGTGAGTGTACACCGTTTCTTGCATAATTTGTACCGTATACAAATTGTATTTTGATGAGAAATGGATACTACCATCAATTTGGAAACCATTCAAAGTGTAGGAAATGAATTCTAAATTCCAAAAAATAAGGATAATTAATGTGTAAGAATTAATTAAGGAAACACGTCAAAGGCATTATTCAAGATAGAGTTTTTATTTTGATGCAAATTGATTCTTACTATCATTTTGAGATTGTCTGAAAGTGTAGGAAACAAATTTAAAATGTCAAAAAATAAGGATAATTAAGCTCTTAAAAATCAATTGAAAAATATGACTAATTACAGTATTCAGAATGAACCGTTGAGTTTTATGGAAATTGAAGGGTACCATTAAATTCTACACACTTCCAAATGTAGGAAAAAACTTTGAAATTTCAAAAAAGAATAAAAAATAAGGTAGAATAATTAATGCAAACAATTGAGTGAAAAAGTGAAGAATTAAATAAAACAAAACGGTGCCAAATGCAGTATTCAAGATGTAGTTTTCATTTTGATGAAAAATGATTGTTACCATCATTTTTGAATGTATTAAAGTGTAGGAAAAAAATTTAAAATGTCAAAAAAGAATGAAAATTAACCTGTAGAAATTTAAGTGAAAAAATGTGTCTAATTTCAGTATTAAAAATTAACCGTTGAGTTTTAAAAAATTTGGATTACACCATTAAATTCTACGCACAGTGAAACCTAGGAAATAAATTTAGAAATTTCCAAAAAACATAAAAAATAAGGTACATACATGCATGCAAACAAATAATTGAAAAATGAGTGGAAAAAAAATTAATAATCAAATGTCATTTTTATGAAAAATGGTGTTTACCATTAAATTCTAAACCTTTTAAAGTGTAGGAAACAACTTTAAAAATCCAAAAAAACTCGAAAAATTCGCGGTAAAAAATTAAATAAAAAACCGCGTGTACACGCGGAATCCGTGTGTGCTGCGCGCAGCAGAAACTGCGTGTAAAAGCGGATTTACCGCGTGTTTTTATTAACGCCCAAAATTAATGGCAAAAAAAAATAATTAAAAAACTGTGTCTAAACGCGGAATCCGCGTGTGCTGCGCGCAGCAGAAACCGCTGAAAAACGCGGAAAAACCGTGTTTTTTTATTAAGGCCCTTTTTTTTTTTTTAATTGCAAAAACCAGATTGGTTCTGGTAGAAAACATGCAATGAAGTTGATGATTTTGAACTTAAATTTGCAAATTGGGCAGAGAAGCTTGTGCGCACTGCAAAATGATAATTTGTTTTTTATCTGTTTGTTCTTTTCAAAAAATATTGATATGGAAGTAAAAATGTGAAAAAAAAACTGAAAGACCAGGAAGATGTCATAGAACAAGAAGAAAAAAAGTACAATAAAACTTTGGGAAGAATAACATCAAAGACAGAGGGGAAAATGTGAAAAAGGACCTCAAAATCATGCCTGCCTCACAGTCACAGGAGCTTTGATTAATTGTATGTAAGCCTCCCTGAAGAGACTGGGCTGCCACCCAGACCAGCCTGCCAATGACTCTTGCCACAAGAGGATTAATTAAGCTCGGCCTCTGCTCTCTTTTGGTTGAGATGTACTTTCAGCATTTCTTTACCTCTTGCTGGCTCTGCTTTCAATTATCAGTTGTTGCTGGAAACTCATGCACCTGGAAGTTGTATTTTACCTGCTCCTGATCACTTACTGGTCTCATTATCAGAAAATTGGATAGATCACTAGTCATGTTGAACAACTACTAGAAAAAAAAAGGAAAGAGGGGAAATTGGGAATTGGAATTGTTTTAAATCATAATGTCAGAGGATTCTTGGTCTCCTAGGTTCTTCAATTGAATCACTCACTCAATCTAATTCTGAGACAAAACATGAAGCAACAATCCTTCCTGGTCAAAAAAAATGTGCTAATTGCTATCAAATTTTGGGGTGCAACGGTCAGGATCACTTGAACTCCCTAGTTGCTACTAAAAAAAGGATCACTGATTGAAATTGTTGGTTACAAGAACTGTTTTTCTTTTCCTTCTTCATTTGAATGGATAGATCAAAGCCTGAGAGAAGACATGCAGGAACTTCATTCTAGTAGCTAGGCCCTGGGATCACAAAATCTGTGACAGACAGGGTGATAAAAATAACAATAAAACTATAAGTTAAACTAAAACTAAAAATCAAAACAAGAAAATCAAATTGCAAACAATTTCTGTTCAGGAATTTCATAGGTCATGAAAATAGCCACTCTTGCGGCCAAATTGCCAGACCATTGCCACAATAAAACCAACAACAAAATTAATAATCAAGACAGTATAGATGACTTTTTTCCCACAACAAGGACAAACTGCTTCCTGAACAGTTTGTGCATTTGGAGTCCCATCAGTGTCTCCTGCAACACCAATTTCACTGATTTCGTTTGGTGGATAGTGGTTATTCTCTGTATCATGACTGCCAATTTCATGAGATGATGATGGGTGTTCTGCAATGATTGGTGGAGAGGATCTTGTGGATCTCTCTGAATCAGATTCCTCTATTGGAGTGATTTCATCTCCAATATCTATCATCATAAATCTAGATTTGTTTCCCTAGATTTACAAAATATCCAAAAACATGTTTGTATAAGAGAAGTGTTAGGATTTGAACTTAGATTTTGGAGCTTACTTGAGTGCTTGAATTGCACTGAAAATTGACTGGCGAGCCTAACGGCTCTTTCAAAGCATCTGCAATTGTAAAAGTTTTTGTTGATAGTACATTGCTCAAATCTTGTGAGATTTTGGAAGAACTGCTGAATGGATCTCCCACAGTTTGATATTTTGTGGTCAAACCTTGATCACTTTCCAGATGTTTGAATGGTTCTGGTCTGGACAAATTTTCACTGGACAGAGTTTTTTGAATTGGATGGATCTCAGTTGATGTGGATGGCTTTACATCCAATTTAAGGTGGGGAAGAGTGGGGGATGAGGCGGAAAGCTGTATCCCATCATGAGTGTATTCCATCCCAGAATTCTTCTGAATGAGCTATTGGAGAAAAAAAAAGGGATCAGTTTATCACATGAGGCTGTGATTCAAAGACAGCCAATTTATGATTCAGCTTACAAGCAGAAACATTAACCAGGAAAGCATGTTGAGATGATTTCTTGGAGTTTTGCCAAGAAAGAATTGGGTTCTAAAGTAGTGAAAGTTGGATATATATGAAAGAGTGGCTGGTGGGGATGCAATGAAGTGATTGTGGGAGTTGGATTGAATGGAGTGACTGGCGGAAGCGATTTGGTGACTCTAAGGTGTACTCTAGGAAGACGAGTGAGTACCTTGCTTAGTTTCTTTCAGCTTACAATTAATGCCAGCAGCGATACAATCAAGTATGCAGAATATAAGATTTGATAATAAGGTTTAATCTTTACTGAGGTAAGTAATAGAACAAAAGGATCGACAAGAGACTAGATAGGATGAAACAGTAACCCTGTTATAGTTCAAAACTAGTGAACAAAGCTTCAAATTCGGATGCGACACGATAGCAGGAATGCAATGGATAGCGGATCGATAAGCATCCCACAAGTTGGGTTAGAAGGGCGATGGGAGCAGACACCTCTCGGCGAGCAGGCAAGTGGAACAAAAAAGGGCTGATGGAAAAGAAGGAGTGAAAACGTACCAGATCGGCAGAACAAAGTGAAAAGGATAATACCACTTGACTCGGGCTCTGAATATATTATCAAATAAGAAAGGCGGGTTAGTGCCGACTCAGAATGAAGGAGTGTCGCTGGCAAGTTGAAGGGATGAATTAGAATAGCTGGAGTAAACGAGAGTTGACAGGGAAGACTTAAAACAACTGCGTTCTCAGTCAAACTTGGGCTGATTATATCAGAGTCAGTCACGGAACCGGAGTTGAGTATCCTGGGACCAAGGACATCAGACAAGTCTCATGATCTTCTAGACAGCACTTGGTGCAACTTGCAATATTCAGATTGATGATGTGCTATGGAGTTGGGAAGCACCAGGAAAAATTTGACGACAAAAGGTGGCAGGTGACCTTGACTAACATCTGTTGTAACTCTGGTATTTGCAATACTCCCCGTTGAATGACAATGCACGCGGTGTGTGATCAGCAGGGAGTGCCACCACTGGAGGACTTCTTACAGGCTCTGTAAAGCTAGAATTGCAGGCTGTAATCTTGAAGCTAAAGTTTTGCTGGGAAGACAGCTTTATAGCCTGTAGCTTTACAGGGGGCTGTAAAACCAAAGGGATGTCCTCCACTGTGAATTATGAGTATATTGCTGTAATAGCAGTTGGACTTAGCTTCATCTCACCTGCCACTTGATACCATTCCCCTCAATTGTTTCATGGTGGAGGCATATTTTATTCAAGATTGTTAAAAAAAATTAGGTTTCATTACAGTTTGATTCACTGCATGAAAAATTGATTCATATCAAGTCATCAGGCTGAGCTTTACATAAGATGACATTCATTTGGCAGGCAGAGACACAGTGACTGTGTATCAACTTTTGCATAGTTGTTTCAACTTTCAGGACTGGAAAACCTGGTTATATAACATGAATCAATTTTGTGTGCAGTCACTGTTTTTGGGTGTGGGGATGTATAAAGAGCTTGACGCTCATGTACACAATTTACACCCTGCAGTGGAATTGCTCTTAAATAAGGGAAACCAGAAGCAGAAACATCAAAATGAGGGAGCAAAGGTATGAAAACTCATTTCATTCAGTGAACTAATGACAGAAAACCCATCATAAGGAAGTATCATGGCAGAAAGCTAGAAAAGAAAATGTGCAGTATGAATGAAGATATTCTTCATGACAATGTATATCCCTACCTGCTGCAGGGGAATCAACATGAGTAAAAAAAGGAATGAAAGAACCATGTTTATAGAACCAATCTTCCAGGGACAATTGAAGACAAAGGTGATTTATATGAAGAACTGTTTTTTTGCAACACAAAGGAAAATTAGTCAAATCTCCAACCCAAATTTCACAAATGCACACGTTTTCCATGATTGGTAATTTCCAATGTTTTGAAGAATATTGTGAGTATAGTAGGAAACAAAACAGAAAAAATTGAGGAAAGCAAAAGCCGACGAGGAGTCATCCATTTAGGGCAGTTATCTATTATCATGAGTTCGACTTTTGACTTTTGTTCATTTGCTGACTTGATGACTCCATCAGACTCAGAGGAAGGTTTCCCTGGGAGATTTGCCATTGGTTTTCCCTTGGAACCATCTTGTACAGTTTCATCTTCAATATTTATGGCCACTGAGTTGGTCTTCTCTCCCTGAATATATAGACCATCAGCAGTTTGTAGGAGAATTGTAGCATGTCTGATGAACATGGAGCTCACCTGACTATTTGAATGGTCTTCCAATCTGTCTGATGAACCTGAAAGCTCTTTCAGGGCTTCTGAGCTTCCAAGATTCTCCCTTGCTATGAATGGCCTCATATCCACTTTCATAGGAATGGGAGCAGAGACAGCATCAGGGTGAGTTTTTGCTTGAGAGAGCTCCATGGTAGAATATTTATGAACAAGCTATTTCAGAATTTTCATCAGTCCATAATGAAGAATTCTTCATTCTTGAAGGGACAAAATATTTGACTCACAATCAGAAGCAGTAGCCAGGAAAACACATTGGAAGCTTTGTGTGACATTTTCAAGGTTTTCCTAGATAGATTCTTGGTCTGTGGGAGTGAGGATTGTATGCGATGATCAAGGGACTGGATCCCGGTGGAATCAGCAAAGTGAGTTTGGCAAGTAATGAATTTACAACTAGGTGTGATGGAGTGACTGCTGGATATGAGGAAGGTAGATTTTACTTGAGCAGCACTTCAGACAACTTTCAAGAACCAGACTTTTGGAGATTTTAATTTCACGAGTAAAACTGGATGGGAGCTAATGGGGTTTAGATAATAGCAGCACACGTGCTTTCCGCTTTCAATAAGTACCCCCTTCACACAACCTTGACAGACAATGAGCTCCATGTTCTGGCATCAGTTTTATCTGATGTGGATGTATTCTGTTCCACATCAATAATTTTTTACTGGCTTTTGTTGCAGGTATACATCCAATGTACAGTGTGATCACAATTGTACTGATTTATGTACTGGCACGCTCAAATTAAATTCAGGTTACATGAGCAAAAAAAAGAACATACATATATATGTATGTACAACACAGAATGGTGTTGCTCTTCTTTCTTCATCGATGACGGTCATACATACCGTTTTATCGGGTAGTCGACTCCTACCCGGGTGATCGTTTTTTCGGTCGCGGCCTACGAGCCGGCGCACCAGTACAAACTGTGCCAGCTCCTCGCTAAGAAATGCATCAAGGACGAATCATAAGGCGTTGTTTGAGGCAAATGTTACAACAAGCCGATAACACAGATTATAACAAATGGGTTGAGGGAAAAGTGACAACAATTCAATATCAGCATTCATACTCTAGATCGCTTCCAGTACGGCTTGGAACTTTTACTTCGGACATCAAGCACCGTATCGGCCTACTGGCCACTGGCTTTTTGGGATGTTGGGCATCAGTAGAGCTTGGAAATTCGTGAGATACCGCTTATTTTATCAACTGCTTGCTGATCCTACATAAGGGAAATGGGTCTGATTTGAAGTCAAGATTAAGAACTTGAACCCGAGAGCCTGGATTGAATACAAAAGAACATCCCTTTGATCTTGCGAGTCTCTCGACTGGACCCGTCACCAGGAGAAGCGGATCCAACCCATTTCAAGCGCATACAACCATCTCCCGGATGTGCACGTTGTTGAGTGACAGAGTTGGAAGGATGGATAACCTCCTTAGCCTAACTCTGCCTAACTCCAATGGAAATCACAGACGACGAGCGAGATGCTGTATATTACGGAAATTGACAAGGGAGGAGGCTGGAGGGTGTGATCGCTCAGGTTGTCGCTTTATAAATGGGATATTTCATCTGCATAAACAATATCCAGCGTTCCTTTTGAGACAGCCTGGACTTCGATATGGGCCTCATCTTGGATTTGGAATGTTCTCTCCATGGTGTTGTGGATTCAATCCGAGACTCACGGGAAGTGATCACCTTTTACTTCTCTTTCGGTCACAGATACTCTCAAACCTCGAAGTGCTATTCAGGGACCAAAATATGACCAGAGTTTTCAGCAAAGAACTTTTTAATGCTTCGGGACGGAAAGGGTTACACAGTAGAGGGGATATCCAACCAATAGGAAAAACACAAGATGTTGGTGTGCTGCCAGCTGTGAGCCGGCAAAGTAGGAGGCCGGAACAGGGCGCTTCAAAGCTCCCATCCCATCTCTAGCCCTCATTTCCAGTCGCAATGCATAAAAGCTCAAGCTTGTCTCGGTTGCTTGCTCATGCCTGGGCACTCCGGCCTGCCATCATAACCAAGCCGAAATGACAATGGTCGCCGTTCGAAGGCCACAGATACCAGATCCGGCGCGAGGGTTGATCGAAACCGGCCATCCTCATTTCCGTGAGCAGCTCGAACAAAAGAGACCTTAATCAAGATCGAGAACATAGTCTGCCTTCATGAGAGAAACATCGGATAACTTCCAGAACCGGCTAATGTCGAGACTGGAGAATAATGGATAGCTAGAAAAGTGCCATTGGCTCTTCTCTGAGAGGTTAATCCACCCATCACCCCAGATCATTGACTCTCCACAAGAAATCCACCTTTATCGGCAAGCTCAAGATTCATTCTAAACACTAACAGAGCTCCATCCACTGCCTCCTCCTCCAAGCCTATCCGAGCCTTCGTGAACGAGATCTGCGCTTGATGCCATTCACACATCACCACCGAAAGTGGCGGAAAGCCCGCGACCGGGGCCGGGCCAGGCGGGCTTCACTCATTCAACAGACTCGCAAGACTCGCCGAGATTCTTACCATCGCTCAGCAAGACATCGGCATCAGGAGCCCTCCAATTCTGGTTGGTCCTCTGACTCGAGAGCGAATAGCGATGAAAGCTTCAACTGTGCTGGTACGTAAAACATGGCCTCTGCAGCACTCGAAAAACAACAGACTGATAGATGTATATACTTACTTCCCAACCGATCTTACAAAAATCAAATTGGTAATCCAGGAGATGAGTCCTTGGATTCCTTCCAACTGAAGCCAGCCCCTAAACGAGACCCTCAACGGCGTGAGAAAGACCAACAGCAGCTCAATAACAAGAGTGGACTAATAACTACCCCTGCAGCAGGGGAACTAGAGGGGGCAGCCGAAGGAGGAGGACGAACTCAGACCGATAGTTCCGCGAGCACGATGGAAAAGATCAGGTTCATGGAGGTAGTGGCCGAGGTAGACAAAGCAGTTGGCATAGCATCATCATCATCATCATCATCATCCTCTTCGTCAGACTTAGATCAGCGCACCTTTCGCCAGCCAGGGTCTCCTGCCAAAGATGGCCAGGCTGGAATCGACTCTGGCTCTGCTGCTATAGCCTTCTTCTCGCCGATCGCTCATAATAATAATAATAACAATAATCAAGATCCCTCTGATCTCAAGGGCGACGGAGTGATCAATCCAACCTGGCTCGAAAACCCACTGGCACCGGCGGGAAGAGGGAAGTTGCATTTTAATGTAGACATCTTTAAGTCTCCGGGAGAGTATCCTAGCTTCGAACCGCCGGAGCCTCCAAAAGCGACTCCCAATCCTTCAGACCTGCCACTAGAGGAGTTACATGCCGAAAGGTGGGAGTGTCTCCAACAACTCGAGCGACGGGCAACCGAGGCTTCTTTAGAAGGTCTTCGCAAGGCAAGTTTGAAGGTGAGCGTTCCTGACTCCACATACCTGAGTTCATGTCCTCATCTCTGACCCGTCCCTCCGACCCCACAGGGAGATACTGCCGAGAGGAACCAATCGATATCTTCAGGGAGTCACGATACTACCCACTCCACCATTCCCTTGCGCAAATTTTCTTCCTCTCGTCAGGCTGCCAGCAGAAGCAATAGGAGCAAGAATTCGTCCTCCAACAGTCGCCGCTGGGGCTCAAATGAGAGCAACAAGATCGAACCTATAGGTTCAAGTACCAAGCTCAATCCAGCCATCACGTTGAGTTATCATCCCACTGAAATGGATGATACTTTGAGGAGAGAGAAGTTGCTTCTCCGCTCCCCCTCGGTATCAGTTTTCCCAATTGCCCAAGGAGTGAGTCAATGGATATCTTTTTGTTCCCCCAGGGGCCAGAAGCTCTACGATCCACAGATCCAATTTTGTCATATTATAAGCATCTATCCTATACATGCTTGATCGAGAGAATCTGAACTGTTCTGGTCACACTGCTATTCCACAGGTGAACTCAGCCAGCCAATTGAGAGCGGCCTCGGAATCGGATCACCGACCACTGGGCCCACGGCCAATGTCCAAAACTTCGAACCTGAGCAGGCTGTCAGAGGCGTCCGTCCAGACGGACGAGAACGATGTGCTGATGCCCCTGGCCACCCGTACCACTCCCTATGTCTCGCCGCCCAACCCCGACGACGAGGAAGAGGTGATCGCAATCCCATCCTCGGCCGTCAAGCAAATGGTTCGGACTTCCAATTATTTGATCAACCGCAAGAACAGCTCCAATTACTACTTCAATCCTCTCATCCATAACCTCCAAAATTTGAACTATCAAGACGATTTGAATGACTCAAACGACGGTTGGTTACCCCCTCTAATTTTTATTTCTTGACTCTAACGAAAGATAAAAAAAAAGAAGTTTTAGCTGAGCCAATGGGATTACTATTTTTTTTTCGCAGATTTCACCCAACCATCTTTGATTGAAATCTCGTTGAACAAGGTCAATGGTGAGATAGAAGATCCCGCACCAGAGCAAGTGCCACCGAAGGAACCGTCGGACAAGCCCGGGGAGACAGAGACTGGGACGATCGACATTCCAGGAGGGCCGCCGGACCTCGAGGGCCGGGGTTCAATGTATGCGGGCAGTGTGGATTCATCGCGCGGAAGCTTGGGGGTGAGCCGGTTCCGGCGATTGTCGATTGGGGACGGCCGAGCGGCGCCCCGAGACAAGCGCTACACGTATATGAAGACCCATCCGCCCCTCCCACCCCACGGCCCCTCAACTGCGCTCCCCCAGCTCGGGCCGGCTCCCAAAGATCCCGCTCCGCATCCTCCTAAACTCAAAATTGACACTTCACGCGCCCGCTCGGCTAGCCTAGGTGAGGCCCATTCCGGTTATCACCGTAAACTTCCAAAGACCCCGGGGGTAATCAAGAGGGATCATGTTTTCACCTCTCCATCCTCGTAAATTTCTTTTCACTTTGCTGTTCTCCTCTCATATACAATAAGCATACGCTTGTGTATTTTACTAACACGCCTGGGACGTGTTTTGTTTGTGTAGGATCCGGGCAGTAGAAAATCAGAAGAAGGAAGAACTATCGATGACGAACGATCCAAACGCGTGGTATTCTCCGACGCCGAAAGCCTGGAAAGACTTCAAGAACCACGACTGGCCGCAGCCTCCGAGCCACAAAGACCGAGAGACTGCACGGTCAGAACGGAACGTGTGTTGTCCGTGTCCGATGATGGCGGGATCCGTGGGCAGACGGGAGGGGCAGGAGAAGCTCTACCGGTTCGCCGGCGTCAAGTCCCAGTCTGAGCCCTCGCTCGGCTTCCTCTCTTCCCCCGCCTATCCCCACCATCCCTGTTACAACGGCTTCCAACGCCAGCCCAGGAAGCTCCGTAAACGCAGCAATCCCGCATTCGAGTTCAACCCGTCCGAGCCGGTGCCCCCCTTGCCCCCACTCCCCTTCCTTTCCAACCCCGCGTGTACCCCCCACACTCACCCCACACAAACACAAACTCATCCTATCCATAACAATCCTCCTCCTCCTTCTCAACAACAACAACATACTCAGCCATTGAAAAACAAGAACTTCTTAGCTAGCATTAAGCTCTTTTGGAAATCTTTACTAACCCCCAGTCCTAATCCTCACCATCCTCCTCCTCATCAGTCAACCACACCGTCTACTAGTTTCGAGAAGCAGAAACACAAGCTGAAAGAACATAAAGAAAACAAAGAACAGATCTGGCAAGGATAAAACACACATCATATGCTCGCCTGATCGTACTTGAAAAATCCTTTGGATCTTGGTTGGTTTAACTCTGATGATTCCATAGCTCTTTACCCCCCCCCCCCCGTTCTCTTTCTCTCTATTCCGCTCACTTGTTGATTGCATGTACAATGTAAGCATCTTTATACTTTAATTTTTGTATAGAAAAAAAAAAGGTTGTCTATACTTCATTTGACTTCAGATCTGTAGAAAAAAAACACACACATAAACATTATAAGTGTACATTGTAAAACCATATCCGTTAATCATAAGCCTACCTGGAAGCCTGATTTTGTATTGACTTTTAAAGTAAGCACTAACATGATGTACATATCTAGTCATTCACTTCATGTGATTTGATCACAGGAAACAACTGGATTGGAGATCTCTTCCACATCTAAAGACAATGAGGTTTTTTTTGTACAAGTTATAATCAGTTTGAGGCATCCTACTCCTCGTAATTTGTATGCAATAAGATCACTTAACTACCTTCAAGTAAAAAGGTATTCACATTTGGATACCAATAAATCAAAGGACAGTGAATCAGAGTTACTCATTATAGGCACTTCATGGTGCACAAGCATCAACACAAAAACACACACAAAGTTATCATGAAAAAAAGGAAAGACCAACCAGAATCTGTGGTGTGAAAACTTGAGAAAAGTATTACATTTACCTATGACAGGTTAAAACTTTGTAGTTGCACTGTAGTTTCTTCTGTTGACCATACTTCTCAAACATTCCTTCTTCTTAAATATATGGATTGAATCTGATTTTCTGTCTATTTCTTTATTTTGGTAGGTTCACTTTGCACACTTCACACCCGATTCTCCGAAGAAAAAAAAAAAACAAGCAGAGGAAAGGAAAGGTGTTTTTTTGACGTTTTGTTACCGTTTTGCTGTATTTGCCGCTTCTGTGAAAGGTTCGATTATCAAATCGCCACAGCAACATCAGGAGTGTTTCAAATCGCCCTTTAGTTTACAAAACAGAAAAAGAGAAAGTATATATATATGTACCTTTACGGGTTGCGTCTTCCAGTAGTTGAGTGTCGACGGCAGCTTTTGGGATTTGAACGTATCTGACCACCGAGCCCCTTATAAAACAGTTCTTGACTGCCATCTGAGGTGTTTGGGTATCGGACCATCGATTTTGAATTTGATTATCAAGATCCCATCCGACTCCAAATCAGTTTCCCTGAATAAAACTCTCCTTCGTACGCGACTGATTGAGAAGAAACGGTAAATATTGAAGCGTTACTGACCATGTGTGGATGACGCTCTTGGTCAAGAACTTTGATGTTTTCGAGTTTGAGATTGAGGAATCTGTGGCCCCACAAGATAACCGCAAATCGATCAGCAAACATTTTTTTTTTCTTGTGCGGTCATGTGAGCGCGACTATTTTATTGAGACTCAACTGATCCACACTGGCTAGAGTGCCTTGAATGGCCAAGTCATTCTTCAGTTCGATCGTCACTTCTTGTCCGGTTAGAGTTTTGAAGACTGAGAAGATCAACTAGATTTGATCGGATTGGATCATTAATGTGAGTTTTATGCTTTCTCTATTGTTATCTTTGAAGAGTGAATGTGAACGTACCATGTTTGCTTGAGGGTGTACGTTGGTTGGTTGGTCGATGGCGACTCTCCGTCAGTGGTGTGTGCTGAGCCTGTCACATATGTAGTCACACCTTCCTGAGACCGTGCCTGTCACACGTGCCTGTCACATGAAGTCCAGCACATCTCTCTTTCACTTTCAGTTTGCTGTGTTCAATCTTTCTTCCACAGAAAATGTTGAGGCCCAAGAAAAACACCAACCTCTTTCTCCAGTGGATCACCAGACTCAAATCAACTCAATCAACCACAACAACGACTCAGATACATCCCATCCAACTAGACCATCAATCACTCCTCAAATCCCAACAAGCGCAATCCTCAGCACGAGCTCACATCGACCAACTCTTGTCTCAGCATCTCAAATTCAAGGAAACCTTACTACCATTCACAAAGTTCAACTTCAGTACCAGCGGCGGTAAAGGTGGTCAGAATGTCAACAAGGGTATGCGTGTCTTTGCGTGTTTCTTCTTCTATCGAAAATTCTATTGCTGAGGTCTTCTTCCTTACATTTTCTATCTATAGTTAATACTAAGGCAACCTTGAAACTAGAGCTGGCCAAGTTGAAATCTATCATTCCAGCCTATTGGATCACCAATCTCACCAATTCAGTTCAGTCAACTTTCAACTTTATATCATACGTTTTTTGTTTGTTTGTTTCATCTGAGAATCGTGAACCTGATCGTCCATCAATATTTATTTTTGATAGCATTTGTATGCACAACAGACTGGACAACTAGTCATCCATTCCTCGCTCACGAGGTCTCAATCATCAAACGTCGATGATTGTTGGACGAAATTGCATCAAAGCTTTCAAAGCGCATCGGAGGCTGGACTGATTGTACGCCATCCCAACAAGCCCCATGGGTCCCATCAACGTGATCGATTATCCTGGTCTCTATATATATACTAACCAAAGTTTGATCGATTTTTTTTTTGATTGATTGATTATTTAAGGGTCAAACTTCAGCCGAACAAACTCAGAAAGTCAATCGACTCAAATCGATCGAGAAAACTCGAACGAAGAAGCTTAAAAACATCCGCAAAGATATCAAGTCAAATCGTTCAAAACCCATCTTTGACTGAACCATCCAGCCATAAGAAGAAAAAACCCCCAGTAGAGACGCTTTTTGCGGGTGTCTCTTCTGATTGGCTACTGTTTTTTTTTTGCGTCGGAAATGATGGTCAGATTCCCTGCGCAAGTTTCAGCAGATGTCACGTCACCTTTTGCTCGCCTCAGCTTTCGTCATTATCCTGACAAGATAAAACACACCTATCGATCTTGACCTCACAATTCACATCAATCCGTGTATCCTCTCATCAAAGACTCTGACTTCTGGACTTGCCATGGAAACCATATGACGGCTCTCACTACTGATGTTACCAATCTGTGGAAATGGTTGATGTAAGTGGTATTTTCCTGCATTGAAATGACGTGACAGACAAGTCCTATAAGCTTTTTTTGATTAGTCCTGCTGTAATCATCTCATCCCGCTTCTTTTATTGATAGCACAAATTAATATTGGTATACTTCTAGAGTTTTTCAAAAGGACCAATTCACATTTCTTGCACACACACATACAAACACACACAAAAACAAACTACCTTGTCATGAGTTCCTGTCTGAATGTGATTCCTAGTCAAGTTGAGCACAACTCAGAGAAAGAAAGAAAGCAAAATCCAAGCACAGTGTTATTACTCACCATGAACTTATGAAGCCCATTAGAATCAGAGGTCACAAGATTGGAATCAGGTGATTGAGCATGATAGGGCTCTTTGAGGGTGGGCTGGCTGTGAAGTAGCTTGTGATTTGAGTTTGTTCCCTATCAAAGTCAATTGAGGTTGAGCAACAAATCTGTCAATATTATCAATTGAACTTCTTACTTCAGAAAGGTGTCATTTATTGGCAGAATATCAGAGGTTTTGGTATGTGCTAATCCATTATGTGGAGGGAAAATGCTTTTGGACATGTCCCAAACAGGGTGCTCAGAGAGCAGCATTCAGCTATGCACCAGATTCACTCAATCTTGGAAAAGAAGTGATCAAAATCCAAAGTTTTTGTACTTGATCACTCAATAGGGGGGGTTCACATTTGAAATTCTTCAGCAATGCAAGCATTTCAAACTAGCAGAGCATTCTTGGTTTGGGCTTACAAGTGCAAGCCAATTTGGCTGGTGTGATAGTAGATTTCCAAGACCGGCAAGCAGCACTGCATAAGCAAACCAGCAGCACTCAACCTCCAATGTGAACCATCCTAATGTATATTTTGTCGGATTTCCAGTTCCAGCTCAAAGACCTCAAAGAGGTGTTTCGCAAGGAGAGTGTTTCAGCCTCATCCACTCATGGTAAGTGGTAGATCAAACAAGTATAACCAAGAACTCATCCCTGCTTGAACCCTTTATTCTGATCTAAAGCAGATGAAAGGTGTCAGATAACAGCAAGGGAACACACCCAAGGAGAAGCAGAACCAACTTGTGCCCACCGAGCACAACAAGGGGTCAGATCTGTGAGCATATAAGAAGCCTCTGCTTTGCGTGTCCAGGAAAAACATCCTCTGACTAACCAAATCAATTCCTCATTTACTTAATCACCACAGAACCATCTCACACCAAGTCTCCACTAAACCACTCGTCAACCGCATTAGTCAACAAAGCGCAGAGTAAGCTTCCTATGAGAATGCCTCCACTCACAACAATGAAACTAACTGGTGACACTAAACCTTTAAACCTGACAGGCAAAGGCCTGCTGAATCCTTGTCCTAGGAGTCTCACCTGCGTGCTCATCAGCCCTGGCCACATCTTAAGTACAAGCCAAGAACTCACTCAAATGGAATGCTCCATCTTAAACAACTAAACTGACCAAGTTCTATTGAACATGCTGTCGCAAAAACAGACACATTTCTTCTATCTTGCTTGCATCTCCATCTTCCACTTTAATTGCCTCTTGCCTGATTCATTCAGTTTAGAAAACATAAAAACATCACAAAACATTTCTTTCTCTCATAAGAACATCCGCTGAATAGTACCACTAGTCCTGCTCTTAGGTCAAGAGTTTCTCCTTCTTCATTAAATCAACAGATAGATAAAAGATTGTACATAGTAATTTGTCTAATGCAATCCACTGCTCTTAGTTGCCATAATTTTCACATATTTCCAGTTGGTCCAGAGCGGCAAGAGCAGAGAACCAAGAAGTATCACTCACCATTTGAGCTTGAGAGAAGACTAATATGATGAGTCACTGGATGAAGACAAGTCCTTGCCAGAAAACAGACAATGAATTCAGCCCAACCATCCTACTCCACCTTTCAGATCTGACTCAAATCACAGTTGATCTCAAATCCTAAAGTGAATCAACTGAAACTTAAAAATTAAAAACATCCCATTTTGATACATTTTTTATACTTTGATTACAAGGATCATTTTTTTGTAGTTTTAATGTAGCTTGGATTTGGCATTTTGTCATCAAATTTCAATATAAAAATCAGAAAGAGACTTCCTTTTTCAAAAAGAATCATTAATTGATCTGGCTTTCAAGCAATCTGTTTCCCTCTTGGGGGCTTTCAATCAACATGCACACACAGATGTATGTGGAGATTCTCTGAAGAAAATCACATTTGGCCCCACTTTATTGTCATCATTTCTCAGTACTTTGAACAGTGGTTTTCACATATATTGATGAATGGAATGATCTTCATAAAAAATGGAACATGTTACTTGTGAATAATTGAAACCTCCATGTTTGTGGTATTTATGATTTGCCCTGTAGGAATGCTATATGATCTGTGCAAACACTGTAGTGAAAAAATAGGAGGGCAATCCCCTGACTTCTATTGAAAACTGTTGAATGTTTTGTTTCATCAAATTTTACAGTAAGAAACTAAAAAGGCAATCAAAGGAACTGTTTCTCAATGTAACAAACAATAAGTTTTGAATATTGAAACCATGAAAAATAATGTCAGAGCTAGGGGATTCACTACACAGGAGGGGACAGGAGTCAACTATCCTTACATGTTGAAAACACATCCACAGATTTAACTGAGGTACAGGTCTTTCTGCCTTGGATGTAAAAACTGAATATAATATCACAAATTACAGAGATCATTGGTATTCTCATACTCAGAGTTAGATAAAAACTGAAAGAATCCCATATTTTTCCTGATGAGGCATCTTTTGATCAAACTTCATTTTCTCCTCTATCTGGCTATATTGCTATCATTCATTTCAGCAAACCTACATCAATTGAAAAAACTAATATCACAGGAAGATCATATCAAAATTCCTGACTTGAATATCAACATTTTTGACTTGAATGAGAAGCCAAGGGACGATCCCCACACAGAGAATCTCTCCTGCTCCCAAAAAATCACATTGATCCCTGTGGTGAAGAATTTTGATGAGTCAAAAGAGTCATCTGAGGATAAATCAAACCTTTCCTCTTATTTCAAAAAATGTAAATCTTTCCCAGTTGAGGATTTAAAACCCTCAGGAGAAGTATTGTTTGAAAGAAAATTCATTTCAAATAATTATATCTTGGATACTCCCTTCCAGAACAAGGAAGATGATCTGATGTTAAATCAAATCCCCAAGAAATTGAAGCAAGAAGCCATTCCTCTCTCAAAGTCCTCAAACTTGTCTCTTGGTTGCACAGAAAACACTCAAATCTCAAATACAATTCCAAAGATGTCTGGGGAAGACCAGGAAGTTTGTGTTAAAACTGAGGAAAAAAGAATACACAAAAGCACAGCAAGGGGTGGAAAAAGCCCTTCTTTCACTACCAAAATGGCTTATCAAACAGAAGGACGAAATACAGAGGATAAAAAGGTTGATGTTGAAGAAGCAAACTTGGATATCTCCCAAATAAAAACAAGTAAGGAAACCAAAATACTTTTCAAAGTTTATGACTGGAACTTTATAAGAGAAGAACCAAAAGGTGGAACACAGGAGGATCATCAGGACCACTTCTTCAGGTTTCTTAACAGATGTAAGGAAGAAAAAAACTTGGAATGTTTCTTTTCCATTCAAAGAGGTCATTCAGGATTATTCTGGAACAACTATCTTTCAAGTAAAAAAAAATTGAGTACAGGGAAAGAAATCAAGAAAGAGATAAGAAAGACCTATACCATGAAAACCTTGTTGAGAAACTCAGATAAGAAAATTAATCTTGAAGCAAATCCACTTTTCTCAAAGGAACTTGTGCAAAAACTTCAAAAAATCCTTGAAACAAATTTTGCTAACTGTGTGGATCCAACACCAACACCACAAATAAAAACCATACTTAAATTTGTCAAAGATATAACCAAAACTGCCCATTTCTTGGTCATAATATACCTTTCACTATTTAAGCAGCATAGGGAAGAGGTATTTACATTATATGACTCTGAAAATATCTTGGAATTTCTCAACAAAACTTGGTTTGATATCCATGAAGACAGTCCAGAATTGAGCAAAAAGGAATGGGCTATAAAAGTCTCAAAACTGTTTAAATTCCAAAATTTTAAGGGAAGAAATGATTACATGTTTACTCAAAAGAAGTACATGCACAAGATATCTTGCCATCTTCTTGTTCATTGGATAGAAAAAACTGGAAGGTGTTTAGATTATAGCAGGGGGAATCAGAAAAGAGATGATTCTATGTTAGTGGGATTGATTAATTTGATGATTTTTCATTCAAATTATGAAACTATATTTAAGGATGTGAAAAAGGAAAATTCCAAAATAAGCAAGAAAAGAAAGAGTGAGAATTGAAAGTCCACCAACATAAATTTAGTTTCACTTTCACCTCATCCACAGAGGATTTTTTTGGTGTTATATCAACTATCTAAACTCAGGGGTTTTACAATTCACCTGATAAAAAAAACAGTGAAATGAAATGAACAGAGATTCACCAATTGAACTATCTCTTCCTAAATAGTTTGAAAAATTAACAAGGCTTACAAATTAAATCTCCTTGGAATGTTTCAAAATCATTTAAATTAAAAACAAGTGGATCCCCTTGTTCAGCACTTGACTGACCTGCTCATTAATTATTCATCCTCAAAATATTCATGAAAAACACTTTGATCTGTGTGTTACATACAGAAGATTTTAGAATCATCAATTCTTCACATTTTTCTTTCTCCCTTCGTTCACTATTGGCAATCCAATCACCTCAATTAAGGAAGAATGTTTTCAAATCCATCTGAGACTGTACCTGATCCTTAAACAATTTGATCAAGTAATTGTCCCCCAACGCCAATCCTTTTGGTTTTGGAAGGAGCACCTGATCTCCTGAATCCCACGGGGAACATATAAGCATATATGGTGTGGAACTTCTGAAAAACCACAACAGAGCTTAGAGGGGAAATAGACAACTTGTCAACTCTGGTCTCTTATGTGACCTAGAGTTGATAGGGTTTTTGGGTCACACTATAGCCAAGAGGGCCAGTGGAAATAAAGTCCAACTCTACACTGGTACAGTGGAGGGACTGGCTCCTTATAAAAATAAGGGACAGCTGTGGAATGAGCTTCACAGTGCCTGAGCTCAGTTAATATAAGAGAAAAGGTTGGGTACTAGTCTTATAAGTTAAATAAGTAACTTATAAGGCTAGTAATGAGTATAATAGAAAGAGTAATTAATATGTTAAGACTATTGTAAAAACCCCACTGACTATTTATTAAAAAGGTTTAACCATATACCACGAACCACCCGCCTCTGAAGGTATCGCTACTAGCGATGTCGCAGGAGACATTAATTCTCCCACTGAACCTTGGCGTGGTGAGAACTACTGCTATCGGGACCATCCTTTTATACCTTCCTCGCCTATTGTCTTTCCCCGCCCCAGCCCCAGTACTATGAGGTCGTGCCTCCCCTTACGTCCTAATCCGTCACCTCCAATAATATCCTTTTGCTACCCTTTGGCCCAAACCAATACCGCCACCCCGTTGAAATAACGCCCTGACCACGAGTCGATGATCATGGGATAGGAGCCGAAAATTTCCGTTGACTTGGGGTGAACCTCCATGCCTCATAAAAGAGGGACATGCGCTTTCCCAGTATGAGGTGGTGGCGTGGACTTGAATTGAACCATCAACGGGGAAAGAATGAATGGTTCCGTAATAAGTTAGGTACGGCCCTGGAGATCTACTGGTGAGCATGATTGGCTTAGCGATGATGGTATAAGAGGGTAAATTGCATCTCCTAAGACGCGAAGCATATGGAACGGATGTGTCGCAAAAAGAAATGTGGATAGTGCCATCAGGAAGAACCAAAATTGGCTCAGTGACGAGGCGAGATCCTTTGATGAAGTACATTATGAAGATAGAGGGGTCAGTGATTCAAGTTTTGAGTTGAAGAAATGAAAGCGGAGAGCAAATCATGAATAGGGCTCATGATATGGGTTGAAATTTATTATTTGAGGTAGAAAAAATTTGGGCGAATGAAGGACGGATCAAGAAGTCGAAGAGAATTCCGGAATTGACCAATGGACATAGGTCGAATCATTGCCGTGATACGGATCAGGGTGGAAGAGCGAAAGACAATGACGTGGTGCTTGATGATGATGGCCATGGATAAGTCGGCAAATTGCCGGTATTGTTTTGGGAAACAGAGGGACAAAAGAATGTGAATTACAGATGAAGGAGCAAGTGACCGAAAAATTGCCGGAATGGAACATTGGCATAGTAAGGAAACTGGGCGAGAACTACGCATCAGTCATTGAAGATGAAATTACAAAAGACGAAGTGCTGGAGGAGGGATGGAAGGTGTTGTAATAGTGGGGTTGAGTTTTGCGGATGATGTTTAGGACTCAGGAGAAAAAGGAAATCGGATGAAGGGCGGGGCAGGTCGATGAATTGGGGGATTGGTTTGGGATGAAGAGTGGAAAAGGATATTATTCAGGTTGACGGATTAGTAACTAATAGCGG